GGCTACTTGAGGCTTATTCGGTCTGAGACTCTTAGAATTGAGCTCTTTTGAGACAGGCGGATTCTATAGATGACATTGGAAGCTTTCTGCTTTATATTGGTTGTGTGTGTACATTTAGGTGGGTGACTGATGTGTCTCTATATCTGTCTGTCTCTGTCTGTCTCTGTCTTGTGAAACACATAATGTTTTTCATTTGGAAGTAAATAAAACATCACTCAATAATGATGCTCCAGTAGTATAATTATAAAATATAATGTGTCATATTATATAGTATAATCTCAAATAATTATCACTCAAATATGGAAGCATTATCAATCACTCATTATCAATCTGATCTCAGCTCAGGAATGGCTTGAACCCTTGACTCGTCAGGATACAGAGAAAATGCCAGTGACAGTCATGGTGTAGTGGTGGAGCGAAAAAGACGACACCAGGAGAGAGAGAGAGAGAGAGAGAGAGGCCTTGAAGGCTATTGAAATTGAGAGATCTTACTGAAAGGAGAGAAAAAAAGTAAAGCGAATAGCACTGGAATTCTCCTCTCCCTCTCCTCTCTCTCTCTCTCTCTCTCTTCTCTCTTCTCTCTCTCTCTCTCTCTCTCTCTCTCTCTTTCTCTTTGATACCGGATTGCCAACGTAGTGGTCTTGACCGCTATTCTAAGAAGTTAACCTGGAATGAAAGAGATCCATATTGACAGTGCAGAACCAAGCAGTACGCCAAAGCCAGAGTCAGTCAACCAGTCAACCAACCGGCCAGCAACAAGCCAGCCTTGGTCAACTAACAGCCAGCGGGTAAACTTCTTGTTAACCCAAGCCAGTCGCAGCTGGCCAGCAGCGGTCAGCCAACCAATCAATCGACACTGGCCAATGATCTAGCCACTCAGCTGGGGTCAGTCAACCCTCAGCCAGCCAGTCAACCACCTCCCAAGACATTTTAATCAATCAGGTCTCACCGCCATCATCCGCACACACACTGCCTCCCTACACGTTCACCTCCTGGGTGCCTCCCCTACACGGTCACCTCCCCTACACACGGTCACCTCCTACAACAGTCACCTCCCCTACGTCCACCTCCCTACACGGTGCCTCCCCTGGTCACCTCCCCCTAAACACGGTCACCTCCACGGTCCTCCTGGGTCCACATCCCCTACACAGTCACCTCCTACGGTCCTTCCCCTACCCACGGTCCTCCCCCCACCATCCCCACACCTCCCCACACACACACCACCATGCCACACCCCCACCCCCACACACCGTCACACAGACCCATACCCATTCACAAGAAACTGGCGTCAACTTTTTTTTTGGTTTGTGGGCACTCCTACATCAATGTGTAAGGGTGGCGCAAGCGTTTCCAGCGCCCGCAGGGAAGCATGCTAAGTTCATGGCGCTTTTATGTCTCCGCGAGTTAAGGGCTTAGAAGCCTGAGAATCAGGGCCTAGAAGCCCTGAGAAGAGTCAGTGGTTTGTGTCCTGGAAGTTATTGGAAGCTGCAACAACTTCTCCTGAATACTGAATCGCAACTTTCGACTTACACCAGGTACCTGCTTTACTTTATTTAGGTGAACCGCGGGGACTAATAGGGGCTGAGAAGTAAGAGATCCAAACAACTTCTACCAGCCCGGGAAACGTCAAATGCTGGATTCCAAGTTCAGATACAAGCATAGCTTTTTCGGCACTACCACCAAACAGAGAGACAATCACACAGGCGTACTTCATCAGTACCATTTTCCATAGTTAATTTTCGTCTGTATGATCGAAATAACACTGTTTGATCAACGATATAACACTTCATTGATCCAATAATCCCAATATACCTTATTTATTGTCAAGTACACATTATAATTACCAAATCATTTTTCTGTATATTTTATAGCCATTTGGCTTTCTTAATTTCGTTCATTATATCAATTTTATTCATGTCTTATGACGAAATAAAATACAGGTAAGTCATTCTATTCACTCACTCACTAGAAAGAGTATTGAAATATACATGAAAAATATGATATTTAATGTTCTTTAAAAGATTCAGGAAAAACTGCTGGGAGTGTGCGGTGGTGAATTCCGGTGCTTGGTGGCACGCGCCAGCGCACGCCGATGGGCACCCACCATGTGACTGTTCAGGCTTAGTCTTGGATGGTTACGAACACTGCTTTACTGGTTTATTAATGAAAGACACTGAACAATGAAAGACTTAGTTGCTGAACGACAATGAAATGGCGAAAGTTAATACCCAAGACGTGGCAATAAGATTGGGTACTTTAAGCAGAACCAGTAAAAACTTGAATGAACAGACGGGCTGCAAAGTCAGGCAGCCCTAAGCAGACCCCCAGACCAAACCTCGGTCGCTCCAGAATGATAAATTTAAATCAGGGCTGGGCTGAGCTAAATGGTTGATCTCCTCCTCACCAATCATGTGTGAGATCTAGACTCCAACAAATGTCTGTGTGTGTGTGTGTGTGTGTGTGACGGCTGGCGAATGGTGCGCCAAAGTCAGGCTGCGCCAGTTGGTGGGGTGCACCAGGTCCATATACTGCATCTCCAACATAAACAAAACCATCGTGCGGACGAGACATTCACTCAAAATTTTCCACCAAAATGAAAAAACTGATCGACTGCCAGAACAATAGAAAGAATCAGCAACCACGAACATCAAATCCGTGATTCAAGGTGTGGTGATACGCATTTACGCCACTCAAGAGCCTCTCTCCGTTCATCTGTCTCAATAAATAAATGTTCTTACTTGCATCTGGCGTTCAGCATGATCGAGTCTGGAAGTAATTAGTCATAAGTTAAAGTGATTTACATGTGGAAGGTAAAAACCGTTAGTGAGAAACGGTTAATTTGGGGAGACGGTTGAGAACGGTTGGAGAAGACAGTTGGAGAACGGTTGAGAGACAGTTGGAGAAACGGTTGGAGAGAGACGGTTGGAGAGACGGTTGGAGACAGAGCATTCTCATCAGATTGTGGAAGGGAGAGGAATGAGGAGGAGGATGGTGGAGGAGGAGGAGAGGGATGGTGAAGGAATGAGGAGGAAAGGAGTGATGGTGAGATGGGGAGGATGTTGAGGAAGTGTTACGGAATGGGACCAGGGTAATGGGGGTAAAGCAGGAATGTCAGGGAGCTGGTGAGGGGATAGAAGAGGAGGAGCAACTGCAGTGGCATAGGAAGGTAGTGTAGGAGAAGGAGGGTAGTGGCTAGGAAGGTAGTAGGAAGTAATTATTACAGTGTACGGAGGAAGAGGCTAGGCACAGGGGATGAAAGTGTATGGGAGGGACAGTGGTGGTAACAGGAGGAGATGACTGGGAAGTGTGCTAAGTAGTGGCGGGAGGTGGTGGCTGAAAGGAGGAGGAGGCCAATTGACAGGAGAGGAAGGTGACTGGGAGGGCAATGGGAGGTCAGTGTGGAGGTGAGGCTGGGAGGTGGTGTGGAGGGTGGTCAGTGGTCTGGGGTGTGAAGGTGTGTGGGAGGGGGTGTTGGGAGTGTGTGGTGTGTGTGGGAAAGCTGGGAGGCAGGAGGTGGTGTTTGGGAGGAGGTGGTGAAGGGAGGTAGTGGCTGGTGGTGTTTGAGAGGCCAGTGGGGCAGTGAAGAATGACCAGAGGCAGCTGGGAGAGGAGGAGGTGGGAGGAGGTGATGGGAGACCCAGGAGGGAGGAGGTGACTGGGAGGTCAGTGTTGGGAGGGTGGGAGGAAGGATGGTGGTAACCAGAGAGGGGGTAGTGTTAGAAAGGTGTGTAGGAGGGAGGCAGGAAGGTAGTGTGGGAAGGTGTGGGAAGCCAGTGTGGTGTGTGGGAGGTGGCTGGGAGGTGGTGTGGGGAGGTGAGTGGCTGGGGAGGAGGGAGTGTGGGAAGAGATGTTTGGGGGGTGGTGGCTGGGGAGGAGGTGGTGGCTAGGAGGGAGAGGAGGTGAGTGGCTAGAAGGGAGGTAGTGGCTGGGAGGAGGGAGTGGCTGGGAGGTGGTGGCTAGAAGGGGAGAGGAGGTAGTGACTAGGAGGATCCAGAGTGGGAGGGGGTGAGGGAGTATATGAGATTACTAAACATTATTGTTTTTGTTGGATGATTAAGTGTAAGAATTAATTACTTAATTTTTTATTGGATAATAGTTACTGAGGTTTATAGTTTTTATTTTTGCATTGATTAAATAAGTGGTCGTATTCCCACCCAAACACACACACACACAGACAGTGAAAAACTCTCCTCTCTCTCTCAAAAAACCATCTCTTCCCTATCGTGTGTGCAGCGTGTGTTGGCTTATTCAGGGCCAATTAGGTGACCCATTTCTGTACTTTAATCCCCGCCACACAGCGGAGGAAAAGCCGCTATTCTGGATCTCAACTAGCTCCCTGGTAAATTGTCTTCATCTGACTGTAGGTGAGAGAGCATACGCTATGGCGTCTCATGAAACAAGGAATATGAAAAAAGGCAATAAATTCATTTGACCGACACCTCTATCTCCGTATTAAGAAACCTTCTCGAGATGTCAAGATCCTAGAGCGACACGTCAATAAGTCCGTCATACCCAATAGCGTCAAAGAGGCGAGCTAGAGGTATATCTTGATCATCGATGACTATTAAAAAATTGTGGTTAAACATTACAGCATCCTCCTGGTTATTTCATGCGAGTTAACCAACCTGGCGTTAACCTAACCCTAGCACTCAAGGAAATATTAAATTGGTTAATCTTTGGCAAGACTTATCATGAGAATGCATTGAACAACGAGTCGGTGGGGATATAAACAGAATTAGAGTCCTGCTAATCCTCCTTCTAGTTTCATGATGGGTGAAAAGCAACTCAAAGAGACGTAAAGGGGTTATTGACTCACCTCTCGTCAGCCACACTTATAGGAATGAATGATACCAACGGCGGTCTTCGGCCTGTAACGCCCAATACGTAACTTCCG